AAGCTGCTTGTCCTCTTTTGCCTGAGCCACCTCACCTGAAGAAAGGAGGCCAGAGATTTTGCTGTGAGTCAGTATGTTCTTGGACAGTAAAAGCACATGTGAACGGACTAAATCAGCCTCTTCTTCCGCATGAGGAGGGCAAAGGAAGAGCAAAAGCCTTTCAGTATGTGCTTGCTGTTTGAGCCTGGCATGTTGACACCTTTGTTGGCCAGTTCATGTTAGATTCAATTAGGTATCTTCCCTAGTGGCAATGATTCACAAACTTTTTGTTCCACTTCCAGCTGACTTCCTTGCTGCTGAGGCAGTCCTTCAGCTGGTCTCTCTGGATTCTCCATGTGGTTGCCTCATCAGCCACTTGCCGTGGTCCAGTTTGAACATCAGCCTTCCTCTTCAGCCTTTCCCAAAGGTAGCGCCCACTTCAGCAGGGCCCTACCAGCAGGGCAGGTGTGGCACAGTCCCTTCTGCCATCTGCCTAATGAATGATTGATATTGCCTCTCAGCTCAGCCTGCTTCCCCAGTCCCTTCCTCCCCATAACAAAGCAGCTGTTTACCTCAAGTGTGGCAGTAAGGATCACCTTGCCAGCTGGCCTGCCGTTGGTCTCCTTCTCTCTGGAGGGGAAACATGCTCATTACCCTTACCTGTGAAGACCTTTCCTTTTAACTCAGATATGTGTTTGCAGGTATGTTAACTTCTCAGACACTATTCCCTGGCCTGTCAGTTTTTTGGAAGAACAAAAAGGTTGGAAATATCAAAACATTTTAATTTGGGGTCGGTTTTTTTTCAAATTGCATCTGACTGTGTTAACATATGTCATCTTTTGACAAGCACTGGACTTTAACAGGAGTGCATATGCCATGACTACAGCCAGCCACAGGCATTGTGTGATGCCGCATGGCTGCCTAATTCTGTTAGCCACAGAGCACCATTGGCAGCACAAATTCAAAGAGGAAGTATGAGCTTCATTGGATAAGGTAAGAGAACTGCAAGGTTATGGACCTGGACTATTAACATCGTTCTAACAAACGCTGCAGCCATGTTTAGTTTGCTGCCGCTTTTGAGAGTGCAAGATCACTCCCAGCCTCCCAAACACTCTTGTGGTTTGATTTTTTTGTTTTCTCATCTCTCTGCTCAAGGCACCCTGACTCCAGTAAGCTCTGGAGTAGTGCTTCTGTTAGTAATCCTCCAAGACTGCCTTTTTATCCCTCAAAACTTGCCATGGGCAACTTTGTTCACTTCACATATCTCCTCTATGCAGGTAACTCATTCCTAAGTCTCTTTCTTCCAGGCAGACCTCTTCCCTTCTACCTGTATTTTAACAACCTTTGTAGAAGATGAATCACTTTCTTATCCTGAGCTGCAGTATTGCCTCCTTTTTCTGTTTATGGCTTTTCTCTTCTCTCCACACTTACAAAACAATATAAGTACCTGGAAATCAGCAGCGTTTCTGCTTTGAAGAAATCATTCATTCAGTCACTTAGACTTGTTCTTGCTGGATTGAGCATACATAAAAGAGATTCCCTGTCCAAGGTGCTTTCTGGGAGGCTGGATGGCACCAAGTAACCTGTGGTGCTTTTCATCCCTCTGCAGTTAAACAGGACTCTCAGTTCCTCAGACCCTTTGTCTACAGATTCTCTTCAGGGATTCCTGTTACAAGGACACGCATACTGAATGCTTGAGGAGTGAACACGTATTAATCTCTACAGGATCACGATCTCCATTTTTTTAACTTCTGTGATTAAGAGTAATGCTCTGTCCCAGTGAACCTTCCCTGTTAGATACTTCTGTAACAGCACCTGGTGTTTTTCCTTTATTCTACTACTCCGTTTCCACACTAGCAGGATACTGGCATGGGAATCACTGCACACACATACACACACCAAAAAAGAAACATTGATGTTGTCAGCTGACTTGTCTGTCAGGAAAGAACTTAGCATACTTAGTTGTTCCTATCAGATGGCAATAATAAATCTACTTGCATTAGATTTATTCACTCAGAGTACTGTCCGCCAATTCTATCACATGACGCTGTGCTTATTTCAAGGTTTGGATGTTTTCTGGCAGGGGTGTTAAAACAATATAGCATCCATTTCTCCTGCTGCAGAATTAGTCCTCAGCCAAGAAACTGAAGTTGTTTCATCTCTGCATATTCTGACGGACTCACTCAGGTGATCACCAGGCAATAGCAAAAGCAGCTGCTTTTAGATGAGTGTTCTTTAAACAGTGTGTGGAGGGCTGAGTGAATTCCTCCCCCCGCTCCACGCTGACAGCCCTGTGTCTTGTGTTCCCTCTCTCTCCTGCACTTTTATACATTCCCCCAGAGGCAAGGGTGAGGGTAACTGGAAATGTGAAAAGTCATCTGATAAGATGCTGCCTGGCTCCCTTCTCTCTGCACAGCATTAGCTCTCCTCGCCTGGTGATAGTGGAATTAACTCTCAAGGCTTTGCTCTGCTCAGCAGACTGCAGAGTTTGCTGCAAATGCAAAACTGAAATCCATCTTTGTACCGCCTACTTACCGTCCAGGGGGCTCGTATGTCTTCTTGCTTTCTGTTTCTTTCCCCAAACCTCTCTTTTTAAAAGGAAGCTCAATTCTGCTGCTAGCAATGCATCCTGAGAGGTGGCTATTTTGGTGTTACCCTGCTTTCTGTGTGTGGGCATTCATGTTCACATCCTTGATTAAAGGTAGGCTCTCTTTGATACTAGTCTCAAATATTTTCTAGTCACTGTGTCTGCTCCTGTTTTCCTGGAATGAATTCAATGTAAAGCTTCTGCTAGCTATTTCTAACCCGAAATCTGTAACATTTCAACAGTATTTTAACAGAGCTAAAGCAATACTACTTTTCACACATAAAACTCTTCATTTTAGCTTGATAATTAATTGACAAACTGTTTCTAGCAAAGAATGGATATGAAATAGGAGTTCTAGTAATTTCATTTGGTGCTTGAATTTTGCAATTGCTTAAATAATGCAGGCTAAAGATGTGTACATTCAGTACTCAGACCTTCAAAAGTGAGAACTTCATGTATTTTTGTTCACTGGTGTTTGTGATTTATGGTTAAATATGCTGGAGTGATTTCCATACACAAATCTCACTATTTTGATTTTTGCTTTTAAGACACTTCATATTTTTTGAAAGTCTCATTTCTGCTGATGACCAAGACACGTATGCATTACAGTGCTTGTGTTAGCATGGCATAAGGGATTGTCTTAAAGCAGTACCAATGGGATGAGAATCTGTAACTGAAGTATAAAAACAAAAGGCCTAAATACTTGTCTCTTTCTGTTACTTTGTTTTAAAGCATGTGTCTGTTAAGAAGCCAGTAGGAAAATTTCAAATGAAACATAATTTTAGACTCACCAGCTTTAGTCATAAGACTGGTAAGAAACTCATGTTCCCACAGTAAGGTACTTCTAGTCACAGTGTGATGGATGATGATGAGGAAATCTGAAAAGAAATTTGGAATTTCCGTTTTGAATGGCACAATACCTGATATACAAACATCCAAACTTTATAGACATTCATGTGTCTTCTGTGGATGTTGCTGAGAGGATGAAACAAAAAATCCAGTCATGGAAGTTTTATTAGAATTTTCTTTCCATACATGTAAGTCACCAGTAACCAAAATTTCAGCTTTTAATTGTGATAATCCCCTGAATCTGAGCATGCTTTTCGTCACCTTAGAGGCAGAAATGTCATTTTTTTTCAAAAACAGGGGAAGGGGACGGTCTATAAGTGTGAAAACAGTGCAGTATGCTGAGACTAAGCATCTCCCTGTAGGACATCTGTGAAACCACAGGCCCTTGTGTTCACTAAAGGAAATGTAAATAGCAAATTTATATTCTATGCTATGCCAGAGACCACACTGCTTGACACAAACCCCTTCTATGTTTAATATTTGCAGTCATAAAGGCTTATCATGATTGCTTTCCGGACGTGTTCTAGTGCAGTCTGGGACTAATGCAAAAATTTATGGCGGTCTATCTGAAAAACTAATTTTTCCTCAGTTGTGTCAGTAGTATCTTTGGCATCATCACATAGCTTTGAAAACACAGCTGTGCTCTATGTGAGGAGCAAGTTCTAAATCTTTGCCTTATAAAGTATTTTGAATTTAAGTGCTGAATTTTAGTAGTGCATTGAAATAGGAAAGTTATTCAAGGAAAGTATTTCTCTAAGCTGATGTCACCAGAGTCCACATGATTTAATCTTTCCTTTTGAAATCAAAGTCTGTAGCCTTTAGCACTGTGAAAATAACTCTTTCAGGTTTGGGCTGTGTGTAACAGATTAAGGGCATTATTCTTGGCTCCACAGTGAGGCAGCTCAGTGCCCTATTCCCACTAAGCCATCCGGTCTGTCCTGCATTGGCTGGGGGTTGCACCTGTGATCTGCTTGTTCCCAAAGAATGGCTCTGTATTACAAAGATGCATGCTATTTTATAAGAAATTTTCATATTTCCACTTTTTTTCTCATAGAACTTGATAAATTAACTTTCTTCAGAGCAAAAATTGTGCTATCTAAAAAGCTGAAGTAGCAAACATGAGGATAAAATATAGTCATAGTTTTTAAGACCAGGAAACATCATTATAATCTCCCAATCAGAGTCCCTGACATAGATTTTTATCCAGTAGTTACAGCCTCAAGCTTTTAATTTCTGAGTATGATAAACTCTCAGTTTTACAATGAAAAATCCCAAAGATGAAATCCACCACATTTCTACATTTTCTACTTCACACCACCTTATTCTTCTTTGGTCTGGGCCAAATGGAGGCCCATAGGAGACATTTCCATTCAGGCCATTACCTTACACTTTGAGGAGACAGGGAGCAGTGGGCAATGTCCTATAGGAGACTGCTTTCAACTGACAGCATACTAGTAGCCCTCTTCTCTCTGTGCTCCTGTGTCTTGATACATGGTCGCAAGCACAGGATCCAGAAATATTGCATGGACTAGTATGTTATCCAGCACCTTCTTTCCCTCTTCCTTACCTCTGACATAGCTGTTCTTTATCTTTACCAACACAGGTACCACAGCCTGTGAATCGGAGGAACGGTTATTTCACAAACTCTTCTCCCAGTACAACCGGTTCATCAGGCCAGTGGAAAATGTGTCTGATCCTGTCACAGTGTATTTTGAGGTGGCCATTACCCAGCTTACAAATGTGGTAAGACTCATTACTGCTGAGATTTGGGGATGGTTGCAAACACACGCCAATTGCTAAAGCAGCACCTATGATTGTGATGGTTGCACCTACAACTCTTATAACTGACATTGTCATGTGTGCATATGTATACATGCTGAGACCTTTGCTCTTCTTCTGTCAGCCAAATTGTTCCAGGTGCTCAAACAAGCGGTTTGAACTACACAGATTCATTTGCTTACTCTGTAGCGTCAAATCCCTCCGCTCTGTGCGGCAGTCTCTCGCACCCAGAGCAGCAGTACCAAATGTTCAAATCCACTCTTCACAGGGCTAGCCTACTCCAGAGACACCTGATTGTGTCCATATTGTGTAGCATGTGGCTTAGTTCTCCTGTGGGGCCAGTGTCATTGCCCAGTCTCAAAATAACGAGACGTGCAGCCTGAAGAGTGGTGTTTTAAAGCATGGAGCTGGTGCAGAATGTTCTGTGTTCTGGGGTGCACTGTGTACATGGGTGAGTGTTTCTGAGGTGGCAGAGCTGCTGGGTAGTGCAGAGGGACTGTGGAAGAGGCAAAACCTGACCTTAACCCTTGCTGAAGTCCACTCTGTGAAGCAAATTATCCACAAAACAGGGGCTGAGTTTTGATTATTAATTACCTGGTTGAGTCCATAAGGAAGTGACAGGCAAATGCTGAGGAGCAATATTCAACAGCAGACAGGGAACTAAATTATCTTGAGGGTATAAATGAAGGCATTGTAAGTCCTCATGGTGAAGGCAGTTGTCACCTTTTGGAGTTCCTTTGTCAAAGTATTTTGTTTCCATGTTACAAGTAGCTTGGTAGGTTTCAGCAGTTCTGTCTCACATTGCAGCACCTGGCTCCCAGTGCTGTCTTTGGGGAAAAGAAGGAACATCATAAGTAAATCAGTTGAATTTTCTCAAGAAAGAGTCATGATTTTTACAAGAACTTAGGTAGTTTAATCCATAGACGGGAACCGTACACATCTTTCAAAATTATCATTGTACTTAATCTTCAGTATACAATGTTGAAAATTCATCTACAACATTTTCTACCTTTGGCTTGTAAATATCTTAACTTTTTCAAGACCGCATACTTAAAAACTAAGAACTACCCAAAGCAATATTCTTGCAGTTATTTGCATTGTGAATGTCAGCCCGCATTCATAAATATGTGTAATATAAGTCTTTCTGTATACTTTTAGGCTGAATGCTCATTAGAACAGGATCCAATGTTTTATTTTTGTGTCTCTTGCAGCACCTTCCTGATTCATCGCTGATTGGCAACAGCAATAATTGAGTGTAAAAGGAAGGTCTCAGTACAGCAGTGACCTAATTTAGTGCTGGTTGAGTGCATCTGCTCTAGAGGTTTGCATAGAAATGCAAGAACACTGTGGTACAGATGCCATTTTCCTTGAATCTTGACCAGTACTCTACTCTGTAAACAGAGCTTTTGTAAACACTGAATCCAACAAAACACACAGCCACCAGCAGAACCTTATGCCTCTGGTACTGGTCAGAGCAATTCTAAGTTTTGTATTCTCCAGGTACTCAGGCCCCTGGCAAAACAGTGCAGCTCTTTGTATGTCTGATAGTTGTGGGCTGTAATTTTTCAGTAGAGCTTTAATAATTTTTCAGTAGAGCTGCACATGACTGTGCACTATATGTAAGCCCCCTGAAAACAGCCAGAAAAAATCTGGTATCAGTTAATGTAGAATTCTAGTTTCCATTTCTATCAGAGTAAGTTTGTAGCCATCTCAGGATACTCTAACTGATTTATGGAGTGAAGATGTGCATGCCTATGTTTCTTTCTAGGATGAAGTCAATCAGATTATGGAAACAAATTTGTGGCTAAGACATGTAAGTGACTGCATTGTATTACTCATGCATTGGTATGGTGAACTGTGTGTTACCTTGCAAGCTACATCTGTAGATTAAGTGCTTGTTTTATAACAAGGATTTTAAAGGTATGAATAAGGAGAAGCTCCATTAACCAAAGCCACATTTGAAAAAGTCATTTCTTTATTCTTATTTTCCAAGAAGTTACATCTCCCATCTTTTACTCTTATTTCTAAGAAGTTACATCTCACATCTTTCCTGTGTGGTATATTCTTCTACAACTTCATGATCGTTCATCTATCTCATAAATCTAGCTGGATATATCCATTAAAAGAGTGATTAAATATGCAGCTCTGCGGTCCTAGGTGATCTCCATATTAAAGATTCCAAGCAAAATGTTTATTAGCAAAAGGAACACACCTCCATTTTTCCTGATCGTTTTAGCATTTATACATAGACAAAGATCTTTAGAGGACCTAAACTGCTGAGAAAAACAAGCCAACTTCCACCAAAATCAGTTTCCTTCAGACACTGATTTTGGTCCACACAAAGCTTTCTGTAAAAGATAATGTACTTAAGATCAGGATTTTCAGGGTAGGCTGCGACAGCATGGGGCATGGCCCCATGATAGGGCACTGGACAGCAATGCAAGAAAGCTTCTGGACATCCCTCACTGACTCTAACTTGGTAATTGGCTACCCCTGTGGAAACAATTATGTCCCCTGGCAGCAACTGCCTGTTAGTGTGCATCTGTACTTCCTTTCTCCTTTGATGCTGGCCTCCTTTAACCTGTGAGGTGCACTCTCATGATAGCAGCAGCAAGAGCTTTATTTCCTCTCTGCAGTGAGAAGGTAACCTTGCACGGGTAAGGGTCTATACTGACGTAGCAGGACAGAGGAGATACCTCATCATGTCAGCAATAGATAATAATTGGCATCCCATCCCCTCACAGAGGAGGAAGGAGCAAATCAATGTGAGCAATATCCATTAATGTCCGGTGTTTCTCCAGGTCATTGCCTTGTCTTTCAGACCACTGTTCCTTTTTACACGCGCTGCACTTTCAGTCTTTATAATACCCTGTCATTTTACAGGAAGATCTGAGAAGCAGACATTTGCTGATAATACAAGGCTTTTAAATCCTTGTCCATTCTTCTTTCAGATTTGGAATGACTACAAATTGCGATGGGATCCCAGAGAATATGATGGCATTGAATTTGTTCGGGTACCAGCAGATAAAATATGGAAACCAGATATTGTCTTGTATAATAAGTATGAGTACACTTTTCCATTTTCCCCTTTCTCTAAAAAGTATCCTCTTGCAGTATCCATGAAAGTTGTTTAACTTTCATTTCTTTTCTTTGCCTCATTTGTCTTTCTAGTGCTGTGGGAGATTTTCAAGTTGAAGGCAAGACCAAAGCCCTCCTTCGCTATGACGGAATGATTACCTGGACCCCACCAGCTATTTTTAAAAGCTCCTGTCCTATGGATATTACCTTTTTCCCATTTGATCATCAGAACTGTTCACTGAAATTTGGCTCATGGACCTATGACAAAGCCAAAATTGATCTTCTGATCATTGGATCCAAAGTAGATATGAATGAATTTTGGGAAAACAGTGAATGGGAAATAGTTGATGCTTCTGGCTACAAACATGATATCAAATATAACTGCTGTGAAGAGATCTACACAGATATAACATATTCCTTTTATATTCGAAGGTTGCCAATGTTTTACACCATAAATCTGATCATTCCCTGTCTCTTCATTTCGTTCCTGACTGTGTTAGTTTTTTACCTGCCATCTGACTGTGGTGAGAAAGTGACTCTTTGCATCTCTGTGCTCCTTTCTTTGACTGTATTTTTACTGGTGATCACAGAAACAATCCCATCCACATCTTTAGTAATTCCCCTCGTAGGTGAATATTTACTCTTCACTATGATATTTGTGACGCTGTCAATTGTCATCACAGTGTTTGTCTTGAATATACATTACAGGACTCCAACCACACACACAATGCCCAAATGGGTAAAAGCCATCTTTCTTAGCTTGCTCCCCAAAGTCCTGTTGATGCAGAGGCCACTAGAACAGCAGAAAAAAAACATCTCTAAAAAAACCAAGAAAGGATCAGCCAATATGTTGTGCAAGTCAAAGAGCAGCAAACACAAAGATACCAAATTATACAAAGAGCAGCGATGCAGTCACTGTGATAAGGCAACTGAACTCAGTGCCACCAAAAGAAGACAACTGAGCCATCAGTCACTGAAATGGGTGGCAGAGCACATGGAGTATTCCCCAGAAGTGAAGGATGTCATTAGCAGCATTCAGTTCATCGCAGAGAACATGAGGTCTCAAAATGAAACCAAAGAGGTAAGGGAGGTAACCGCTCAGCTGGGCTTGGGATCACACTTCCAGCAAGTGAAAACATGATGGAGGAGGGCTGGCCAGAGGAAATGGAGTTGTTGGGTCTAGAGAAGAAAAATTTGAGACCTATGAATGGGTCATAGTTTCCTACAGAAAGGGAGGAGAATTTATCCATCCATTGGGGTGGAACAAGAAAAGTGATCTCATCTGTTCTTCCTCTATCCCCAGTGGATAATTTAAGCAGCAAGACAGTTTTAGATTAGATACCCTTCAAAGGAAAAGAAAAGGAGCATCAGCCTGTTGTGGCCATGAGGAATGAACTTGGATCAGAAGTGATTCAGGCTGAGTTAATCCTGCCATGGGGCAGGGGATAAACTAGTCAGGACTTTTCAAGGTCTCTTCCAACCCTTCTTCTGTAGATCCTCAGAAGCAACCCTCTTCCACTGCTCAACAACTGCTCAGCCCTGGTAGGCAGAGACATCTCAATACTAAATGCTATTTGCCAAACAGGGTGTTTTCTGTGATAGTAATGGAACAGGCAAATTTGGCAACTGCGTTTTAAAGAACAGGGCTTGCCTGTCTTTGATCTGTCATGAAATGTTTTCCTTTGGTTTTGAAGTTTTTTAGATGGTCTATGATGGAAAAAATCAGTTTAAAAATTAAATACTGCTGTATTTGTATTGAAAAACACAAATACTTTTTGAGGGAAATGTTGAGAGGTATTCTTTCTATCAGAATATTTTGTTGAAACAGCACACATTCATGCAACTTCTGTGCAACCCAAAAATTACTTTTTTTTACCTTTTTTGTGTCCTGCAGAAGAAGTTTAATCTGAAACCAAAGTCTATAATTTTCTGAATAAAGGACTACAGTTAAGGCCAGGGGACTGAATTCTTAGGGTGAGCGGGTAATATATGCCAGCTCAAAGCAAAACGCAGGAACCTATCAGCACAGAGGACGACAGGCATTGAGCTGAGCCTTACTTAGTAACTCTTACTTAGTAACTCTTACTTAGTAACTCTAACATTTTAGCCCTGCTCTCACTGCCACACCAGCTGCCCAAAACATATCCATGTACCGTATACAGCTGATTTCTCCAATGCATTCCAAAAAAGAAAAGGCTTTGCGTGAAGTAGTCTGAGTAACTTGCTGCCTTGATTGTAGAGCTCGTGAGAAGTCTTCCATTGCCAGTTTCGCTGATTTGCATTTTGCAAATCTCTGCTGCCACATGAAATTGTATTCTTAGTCTGGTGTGTGCGTCAGCAGCTCTATCTTACCTTTCAAAATGTACTAGGGATGGAAATCAGGATTTTTCACTTGAGAAAAATCCTCTCTTTGGGGGAAAAAGTGGGGTTGTTCTCAGGCAATCACTGCAGAAATGATTCTGCAGGCTGCTTCTGCCAGACATAGAAAGTCATGCAGGTGATATCATGCAATAGTCCTGTATAAATAAAAGCCCTTTAAAAATTGTGGAAACATTTAAAGCAGCTGTAGTTCTTGCTGCATTTTCTTTCACAAGAAGCACAGTGGCAGCCTCTTGGAGGAATTTATCAAGAAAGAGGAAAAAGTGGAAGATCCCTCAGCAGAGAGCTCTTAACCAGTCATTGGTTTTATATGAGTGAATGTTCTTCTGATGCAGTGGTCCTTGTACATAGCTTAAAGGACAGCAACTTCATTGAATGTGGTTCTAAGGTACTCTCAGACATACAAAATTCACCCTGGCCTGCTTAGCACTGTGGTTCGTTCAGTCAGGGCCCTTGCTTTGCAGTAGTCCATGTGTCCAGCTGTCCAATTTGTTGAAATCAATGGGACTTGATTGGAGCAACAGTGTGGCAAATCAGGCCAGAATAGCAAACTGTCTCTTGTGTGGGCTGCCAGGATAAATCCTTTGACAGAGCCTAGTGATGTAAAGCTATGGTGATTCTGCCTGCTGTTAAACCGCCCCACCCTGGACCCACCACATGATCAGGTCCTATTTGTTAATGTCAGCATCACAGCCATAGCTTGCCAACAGACTTAAATATTTAGAAAAATTCAGCAGACTAGGCCAGTGTTGAATGTTCCCAGACAGAAGTGGTAAATATTATGAGAAAATCAGGCCCCTCCAAAGGCACTTGAAAACTGCAGCAACTATAAACATGACAAGCAACATTCTTGACTGCTTGTATGTTCTTCCTCGCATTCAAAAGCACAAGGGACATTTCTACTGCATAATGTCAACTCACAATTACATGTTACATTACATGTACTTTATCCTTTTTTTTTCTCTTGCAGGTGGAAGATGATTGGAAATACGTAGCTATGGTAATAGACAGAGTATTTCTCTGGATATTTATAATCCTTTGTGTGTTCGGGACTGTAGGGCTCTTTATCCAGCCGCTAATAGCAGATACATAACTTCATCCACTGCTTTTTATCCACTTTGGTTCTTGTTTCATTTTCAGTTCGGAACTGTCCCCTATATTTCTCTCCTCTTACAAAACCCCTCTGCTCATCCTCTCCTCAGCACCCAGCCACAGAGGAAAGGAGAAAGAGAGGTCCTCTGGGAAAGCCAACAACCCAAAACAGAATGAGAAGAGGACTGAAAATGGCAGATGAGCGTGTGGTATTTCTGTGGTGGAACACCTGGGATTTTTAGAGTGCTTCCAATCAGCAATAACAATTGCAGTCAGGATCAGAGGAGCAGATTGAAGTTATTGGGTTTTTCCCTTGGCTTCAGTACAGGGGGCTATAAGGACAGTTCAGGGACTCCTGAGTGCATTGGCTAAAGAGGACTCCACCTGGCTTCGTTTTTCTCTCCTGATCAGAACTATTGCTCACCTTTGAATTAATTTACATTTCCTCTCCCTTTCTTTCGTTGTACAACAGCTAGTCTTTGGTATGGCACTTAGATGAAGTACCACAGCCCTACTGACTGGACCAATGATCTTTGTAGTGTTCTTGTGTCAGGGCAGCCAATAATCAAAATAAAAGTCCAATCAAACCAATCCCTTGAGCCTGTAACATTTTCAATACAATCTAAATAAGGACAAAATTAAGACAAACAAAAAATCCTTCTTTGAGTATGTCAGTGAGAAAAGAAAGACTAGGGAAAATGTGGGCCCTCTCCGGAAGGAAACGCAAGAACTGGTTACCCAGGACAGAGAGAAAGCCAAGGTCCTAAATGACTTTTTTGCCTCAGTCTTCACTGGCAAGGAGTGCAGTCGCACTGCCCATGACACAGAATGCAAAGGCGAGGATTGGGAAAGTGAAGAACCTCCCACTGTAGGTGAAGATCAAGTGTTAGACCACCAGAGGAACCTGAAAGTGCACAAGTCCATTGGACCTGATGAGATACATCCGCGGGTCATGAGGGAACTGGCAGATGAAGTCGCTAAACCACTAGCCATCATATTTGAGAAGTCGTGGCAGTCTGGCGAGGTCCCTGCCGACTGGAAAAGGGCAAACATAAGCCCTATTTTCAAAAAAGGAAAGAAGGAAGACCCGGGGAACTACAGGCCAGTGAGTCTCACCTCTGTGCCTGGCAAGATCATGGAGCAGATCCTCCTGGAAACTTTGCTCAGGCACATAGATAACAAAGAGGTGATTGGTGACAGCCACCATGGCTTCACCAAGGGCAAGTCTTGCCTGACAAATTTGGTGGCCTTCTACGAAGGGGTTACAGCGGCAGTGGACAAGGGACGATCAACAGATGTCATCTACCTGGACTTGTGCAAAGCGTTTGACACCGTCCCACACGATATCCTGGTCTCTAAATTGAAGAGACATGGATTCGACAACTGGACCACTAGGTGGATAAAGAACTGGCTGGGCGGTCGCACTCAAAGAGTTGTGGTCAATGGCTCAATGTCCAAGTGAAGAGCAGCGACGAGTGGCGTTCCTCAGGGGTCGGTACTGGGACCTGCACTGTTCAACATTTTTGTCACGGACATGGACAGTGGGGTCGAGGGCACCCTCAGAAAGTTTGCCGATGATACCAAGCTGTGTGGCGAGGTAGACACGCTGGAGGGGAGGGATGCCATCCAGAGGGACCTGGACAGGCTGGAGAGGTGGGCCCAAGCCAACCTCATGCAGTTCAACAAGGCCAAGTGCAAGGTCCTACATCTGGGTCAGGGCAATCCCAAACACAAATACAGGCTCAGCGGGGAATGTCTGGAGAGCAGCCCTGAGGAGAAGAACCTGGGCATGCTGACCAGAAGCTCAGCATGATCCAGCAATGGGCAATCGCAGCCCAGAAGGCTGACCGTATCCTGGGCTGAATCAAAAGAAGTGTGGCCAGCAGGTCAAGGGAGGTGATTCTGCCCCTCTACTCCACTCTCGTGAGACCCCACCTGGAGTACTGCATCC